CCCTCGTCGCGACGCTGCCCGCCCTGCCCCGCGCTTCCTCCCCTTGCACCGACACCTTCCCGCGGGCGCCGGGGGCAGTTTTGGTTGCTCGTTGGGGTCCCCTCCTGCAGTTTGCTCCATTCCACACTCCAACCAGACCCGCTTCACATCAGTTTTTACAGGAAACGATATGAATGTCGCAGGAGGCGGAAAACCCTTCTGTTTTCTTTGTTTCAAAGAACGTGATGTGCCATTTGTTAATATAAAAAGAGAAATATTGAAAATATATTGAAAAGAGCAATTTTAAATTATTTTTGGCTTATGTTGCAATATTTATTTTCTTGTATTAGAAATTCCTTTGTAGAGAAAAAAAATGTATTTTTCATTAATGCAAAAACCTATTTCTCCTTTTTGTACATTTTCCATGTTAGTTAATCCTTAAAGCAATATGATGTTATCAGACTCGTTCTGTGTGAGACTGTATTATGCATGCTCCTTGTGTTGCCTTGGACTAGCTCTGTCTGCCATTATTTTCATCATGTTTAGATACAGTGTATGCTTTGATACACATTGGGACCATGGCCCATTGCTTACGGAGAAAACAGAAAAAAAAAAAAGAGAGAAGAAACCTTTGCATTCCTCAATGTGTTGGCAAATGCAGTCAATAAAGCAGTGTTTTATGTGCGCGCTCGTGCCGGTGTCGTGTGTGGGGCCGGGCCGTGAAGCCGGCGGCGGGGGCGGCGCGAGGACGGGTTGGCCCCGGCCCTCGTTGCGGTTTGTTGGGAAGGTGAATCGGGAAGAAGCAGCCGAGCATGGAGACCAGGGCTCCAAACGCCTCGGGCCGAGATGGGGCTTCTGGCCCCGGGGGTGGCAGGGAGGCAGGCTGTCCCCATCCCCAAACCTGTCACCATTCCCGCCTCCATCCTCACATCACTGTCTCCATCCCCACTCCCATCCCTACATTCCCGTCCCCATTCTCATCTCCATTCTCTTTCCCATCTCCATTCCCATCTTTATCCCCATCCAGTCTCCATCCACATCTTCATTCCCATCCCTACATTCTCCCCTGCCATTCTCGTCTCCATCCCCATTCCCATCTTCATCCCCAGCCAGTCTCCGTCCCCACCTTCATTCCTATCCCAATCCTTGTTTCCATCTCTACATCCTTGTCCCTATTTCCATCCCCACCTGGTCCTCCTATTCTGTCCCTACCATCCACCCTGTCCCCATTCTCCTCAAACAGCAAAAGGGACGGTGCAGCATCTTTCCAAGCTGACCGGGATTCGGCTCCTGGATGTTGGCTCCTGATGAAAGATGCCCAGAGGAAAACCCTATGGCACAGGTGGGAATATCCAGCGCAGCCTCGGGAGTGACTCATGATGCTGCAGGAAAGTCTCTTCCAATTAAGAAAAAAATGCACTTCGAGCCGGTCGTGAGCCAAGGAGCTTCCCCACGTTGGGAGCCTGGGCTTGCCAGGGAGCAAACGGGCAAGGAATCATCTGGGTTTAATAGCAAAATAAATGTAAGACTATCCCATACGCTCCGCACAAGGATTGCAAGGAGTGACATAAATACTAATGGGACAAATAGGCACTGGTATCGGTAAATCATCACTGGTGGATGTGAAAAGGAATTAATTCCTCCTCAACTTATCTTGGAAGAGCTGCAGTTGGCTCACTTTTACTGGGAGTGATTAAGTGATATGATATATTGTATGATATATTTTTTCCTAGCCATTAAAAATGGTGGTGCTGTTCTTCTGCAGAAAAGCCTCTAATTCATAAGAGGGTATTTAATATTTACTCTTCCCAAGTTAATACATTTATGGGGGGCATTTTTTTGTGCTAAAGATAGTCCCTCAGTCTGGGCTTTCCATGGAGGGCTACGAAATTGTATCCACTCTGACTGCAACGGATGAATTAAAAATAAGAGCTCCAAGAAGGTAAACGAACCTAAAACTAAGCCACAAAACAAGGGGAAAAAGAATCCTGAAGATGACCCTGGCCAAGATGGCTGCGCTTCACACCCAGTCTTTGCTTATCCAGCTGCCACTGGATCCTGCGGGTCCTCCTAAAGCTTGTTCCCATATTGCAAAAACTCATCGCAGCCTCGGGGCCATGGCGGGATGGCTTAAGGGGACACATGCTCCCCTTTTCCTGGAGCATCACCATGGAAAAAGCAGCAGAACCTGATGCCTCC